ACTGGCACAAAGTCAGATGTTATTTCTAACCACATTATACTCTTTTGTCTGCCAAGACATCTTGACAAGCTTAATATCTGCAGGTAGGCCTATATGATAATCCCAGCAGTATTCCGGGGATAAGATTTTAGTGGGTTTGTTGAGAAGGAAATACTTGTTTAGATGGCTTTCATCGTGCCACTGGGCTTCTATGTCATTTTTCTTGTCCTTGAGGATTCCTTTGAAGCATTCCTGGGTGATGTTAAGGACCTGAGTAGGTGTTCCCCCAAAAATGGCTGCGTGGTAATAAAAATCCCCTTCGCCAAAGGGAATGTATGCTGCAGACTCCTTCCGTCTCTCGTAGGTGAACTCGTCGGGATCTGCTTTGTACCACCAGGCCTGTAGCTGCGCCACCGACTCGCCCAGGGTCTCCACCCCAAACTTGTCTTGGAAGACCTGGTCCACGTCCATGCAGAAGAGGAAGTCAACCTCATGCTGGATGTGGGCCACAATGTGCTCCCCGATGGTCTTCATGCGCATCATGCTGATGTCCTGCCACCTCTTCTCAGGCTTGATCTCAAACACTTTGAAGGAGCGCAGAGGACCCAGCTCTATCAAAGGCATCCTGGAGACATCATCCACCATGATGTAAAAGATGACTCGATGGCCAACCATGAAGTGCTTATTAGCAGATGTTAAGAACTCCTCCAAGTAATGCTCAATGTATCTGAAACAAAGAAGAACGGGATAAATATAACCTCTGGGATTTCTGCAGGCTTCTCCAGTAGGTCAGTAGTAAAGACTCGGCCTGCAATGCAGGAGACGAGGGAGACAAGGGAGATGCAGATTCGATCCCTGAGATGATTCCCTGGAGGAGGAAATGACAACCCACTCTAGTATTCTTGCCTGGAAAATTCCATGGACGGAGGAGCCTGGCAGGCTACAGTCCATAGGAGTTGCAAAGAGTCGGACATGACTGAGCGACTGAACGCACACAATGGGATTTCTGCAGGCGATGACATGCTGTTCTCATCAAGGCACGTCCGTTGCTGTACTATTATTTCTGGGCACTCTCCACCATTCAGTCACTCAAATTTGAGGAGGTGAACTGACTTACCTGATAATTCTGGAAGGTGACTGGGCAGGCCCAGCCCCTCCTCTCTCTCTTGGAAGCCAGCCAGGTGGAGAGACTATGTATTCTCAACTGCTCTGGGCCCTGCAGTGTAACTAAATGGTACAGGCCCTTCTCCAACATCCAGACACCTGCAGTTTCTCGTGCTGTGGATGAGGGATGCCTAAGTCTTTCTAATTCTGTGGTTCAACATTAGGAGGCCCAGGGCCTTCAGTTTTATAACCCATATTCTTCAATATCAGCTTTAACTGTAGTGAAGGTGATCATCACTACCATCTACCTTATTTATCCCTTTCTCTTATTTATTAGTTGGTTCAGACCTTGGGCAGGCGGAAGTGTGCTGGTCCTTTTTTCATACTGTTTCATTGAGATATGATTGACATGTAGCATAGTTTAAGTTTAAGGTATGCCAAGTGTTGCTTTGGTATATTCATATATTACAAAAGGGCTTCCCAGATGACTCAGTGGGTAGAGAATCTGCCTGCGAAGCAAGAGACGCAGGAGATGCGGGTTCGATGCCTGGGTCAGGAAGATCCCTTGGAGGAGGGCATGGCAATCCACTCCAGTATTCCTGCCTGGAGAATACCATGGACAGAGGAGCCTGACGAGCTAAGGTCCATAGGGGCGCAAACAGTCAGACACAACTGAAGTGGCTGGGCATGCAGCACACATATATCACAAAATTATTACCACTGTAGCATTAGTTAACACCTTCATCTCATCACATGATCATCATTTCTTTTTCGGCGAGAAGATTTTAGATTTATTATCTGAATAACTTTATAAGTATATACAACAATATTATTAACAATAATCACAATGCTTTACGTCAGATCCCCAGAACGTGCTCATTTTATAACTGGAAGGTTGTACCCTTCGATCAACATCAGGGGGCGCTAGTTCTCAGGCATCTCTCAAAACCCCAACGCACACTCCAATGTTACATTGCCCTACCAGATGAAAGGGTGACATGCCCCTTAGGTCCTTTGGGGATGCCTTAAGACTAACCATCGCCACTCTCTTCTCCTTCTCTGGGACCCAGAGAATGGGTTATGGGACATGAATATCCCTCCACATTACACATTCACTTTATACCAATACATTATCCAGCTACCACCATTATAAGACCCATTCAAATACCAGAGCAAACAACCTCTGATTTAAACTTATTTTAACTACCTCACTTCCTTTTCTAATAGATTTTAATTATTAGAACATTTTTATGCTTACAGAAATATGGAGCTGAAATTGCAGAGTTCTCATATACCCGCATGCTCCCTACTCCTTCCCACAGCTTCCCCCACTATCAGTGTCCAGCACCCACTGCAGTTCATGAACCCAGACTGGCACATCATTATCACACCAAATCCACCATTTACATTAAAGTTCACTCTTGGTTGTGTATATTCTATGGGTTTTGACAAATATATAATGACAAGTATTTTTCACTAAGTATGATATCATACAGAGTATTCTCACTGCCCTAAAAATTCTGGGTTCTGCCTATTCATCCATTCCCCTTTGCTGACCCTTGGCAACTACTGATCTTTTTACTGTCTCCATAGTTTTGCCTCTTTCAGAATGTTACAAGGTTGGAATCTGCAGCAGGTAGTCTTTTCAGATTGGTTTCTTTTACTTAGTAATATGCATTTAAGGTCCCTCTATCTCATCCATGGCTTGATAGATTTTGTGTTTTTTGCACTGATAATATATTATACCACCTAGATGTACCACAGTTTATTAATCCATTCACCTACTAAAGGACATCTTAGTTACTTTTAAGTTTTAGAAACTATGAATAAAGCTGCTATAAACATCTGTATGCAAGTTTTTGTGTGGATATAAAGTTTCAGCTTTTTTTGGTAAATACCAAGGAGTGCAATTGCTAGATTGTATGATAAGAATATGTTCAGCTTTATAAGAATCTGCCGAACTGTCTTCCAAAGCAGCTGAACCATCTTGCATTCTTGCCAGCAGTGAATCAGTTCTTCTTGCTCCATATTTTCTCCAGCAGTTTGTGTTGTCATGTTTTGGATTTAGGTCCCTCTAATAGATGTGGTATTTTAGCTATTTACTTATTCATTCAAAAAACATGTTCATGTCTTTTGTAAGCCAAACTGCACACTATCATGTGACACCATGGGGATGACAGAGAAGGAAAGAAGGAGTTGGCTTAACACAGCTTGCACCACCCCCAGACTCATGATCAGTGAATGCGGATTAAGTTTAATTTGCTGATCACACTCACGGCCAGTTATGACATTTTGTGAGTAATAATAACTGGCATTTGTTTTTGCTCCTTAGTTGCACTTTGGATTCCCGTTCGTTTCTACAAAAATAAACTGTGGTTTTAATATTGGTCTCTGGAAAAACCCCGGGTTTTACAGTATTGATTCTTTAAGCAGAGAATATATCTGAGCAATATAAAGAGGGACTTTGCCATGGCTCTGAAAAAAATCTATTGTGCCCTGAAGCTTGAGAGACAATCCTCTCAAGGGAGGGGAGGGGGTCCTTGCGAGGTTCAACATTATTGAGAGATGAAAGCATTGCAATTGGCTCTGGGCATTGTTATTTGAAAACAAACCAAACATCACACCTCCTAAAAGTCCAAATCCACTCTTGGGAGGATTTATTGCTGGAGTACAAGCAGTCCCCTCCTGCCTCCAAGAGGCGAGCTCAGGGTTTTCACCAGGGTGTACAATTTACTGTTTAGCTCCGTGAAGCAGCGAACACAAGGCTGAAGCCATTGTGGAGCCGCAGGCCACATTCTGTTCTTTGTGGAAACATCAGGAGTAAATCAGTCTGCAGTGTGGCTGGCTTGTCACCTCTCATACCAAAGGATGAGGTGAGCTAAGCATCTGCTCCAGACTCATAACAGTACAGATTCTTCCAGTAAAAATGTCAAAACTCCAGAGTCACCCTTCTCCATCAGACACGCCGCTGGGATCAGCCCAGGTGGTGACATCAGGACTTGACCAGTATGGTGAGGTGATGGCTTCGGGGCTCTGGGTTGGGGACGGTCTTGGGAGTGAAGACACGCAGATCCTCACTCAGATCAACCTGGGCCTTCACCGCTCTGTGTACAAGCGAGAGGTCAACTTTCCATGTGGCTCTCGGAAAAGATACAGATGCGAAGGCCCATAGAAGGGGGTTGCAGAGAGGAGGCTAATAGAAAAAGTGAACTTTTGCTTTGGTTTCGAGAAAAAAAAAAATTCTCCAAAAGAACAAAATGGGTTATATTTTAAACTTATATCACAGCTCCGACTTTTAAGTCAGAATGATTGCAGTTTGGGGAGAAATGTTGTTCTAAACAAGGAAATGGAAGCAGAAACAGGAACCCATCCAAACTCTGGAAGAGGAAGTTCTGGTTGGCCAGATCTCCGGGGGCCAAAGCCTCTAGGAGGAGTAGGGCAGAGGCAGCTGAGGAAGCCCGGGAGGAGCGGTCAGCCAGGCTGACGTGGGGAAGCTCCGCGCTTAGTCACTTCTGTCCTTGGTTCTCAGTCTGGGGTCTTGAGCCCGTGGGAGAAACAATGACACGCGTTCGGGCTGTCTAATAGCTGGCATTTTTGGAATTCCCAGAGAGGGCCGTGGAGGTCAGGGTGGAGGCGGTTCTGGGTGTGCTGGAAACTCCAGGCTCAATGAATGTAGCAGACACTCTAACCTGCAACCAAGGCCTCGCTCAGGTGGGAAGCTGTCTACTCCCCATCCTCTGTCTTGTTCTCAGCCTCTTGGGGCCTCAGCAGAAAGGAACCTGAAACAGGCCTATTACTCCATTCCCCTGTCTAATGATTCAGACACGTCCATGAACAGCCTCCGTGAGCCCAGGGAGCCCCTCACCAACCTTCTGACAGTGGGACAAAGGAAAGTCACTTTTATTAGCAACACCTACCTTCCGACAGCGAAAACCGTCAGGCCGACGGTAATTTTCTGCTTGGCATAATAATCATCTAAGACGGCTCTGTTGTAAGTGCCTTCCCACACCACAGGAGCCTTCCAATCCGTCATGGTCACAACCTCGGGGCGTTTACTGGTGACAAAACAGAGTCCATGAGTCAGGATGGCCTTGCTAAGGAGGGGCAGAAACATCAGACGGAAAACGGGTCAGCCGTGGCTTGTGGTGACTGTCCTTGAATCCTGACGGGAGTTTAACCCTGAACAGTGATGTGACATCTGCAGCATCTTCTGGGTGAGGGGCAGGAGACTCTGGCCCAGGTGCCTGGGGACTGCCTTAGTGGGGGCCCTAGAGGGGTCTTACATGTACAGCTCATGCCCTCTGTCCCCCTTTCCTGCTTTCCCTATCCTCATCTTCCTTCTGTATCCTACCCCCATCTCCCCAGCCCCTTCCTAAGCTGCTAGGGGCATCTTTAGGCATTATTTATCCCAATGGGTGCCATCTGACCCAGAGAAAGCCCTGATGCTGGACGCAGGGGGACAAGAGAGTGACATTAGAGCTGAAAGAGGAAGAAGCTGTTTCCATCTGCCTTTTGCCAGAAAGGAATTTCTGGTTGCGACCTGGGTAGAGGACTAAGGGGTTTCTGGAGCTGTTGTTCATTTGACAAACAAGGAGCAGACGGTCACTTATGAGAGGATCCTGCAGGCTCACAGCGGCCAGGGATGAAACGCGGGGACCCTGGCTGTCACCTCTCCCAGATCACGTTTCCTCTTTACAAAGCTGAGGATGGGGGAGGGTGTGTTCTGTGCACTCAGCACACTTGAAAGGGGCTTGGCAAAGCCAACACAAACACAGGAAGCAGCGTAAGAGCAAAGACAAACCAACCAACTGTAAAGAGTAAATGCAGAAAGGCTGCGCTGCGGCTGGGGCCCAGGCTAAGGAAGGAATGGCGCGGGGACTCTGCTCCAACCCCGTTCGTGTTTGCAAGTGACTGCCCTTCCCTGGCGGGAAGTGGAGACCGAAACACAGTCACTTACAGCAACCCTGGTCACACAAGGGCCCCGCCGCACTTCAGCCACTGCGGGGACAGGGCCAGTGGCTGAGGCAAAGCCTCGGTGGCCCCATCGGGCCCCTGCTGACTCTGTGCCGGTGGCCTTGGTGAGGCTATGGAGGAGATGTCGGCAAACAGATCGGCCCACTGAGAACTTCCTCCCTCCCTCACACATGGGTGGAGAGTGGGTTTTCACAACACCATCCCTCCGCCATGGCTGAAGCTGAGTGTTTCCAGGGAGGCTGGGCAAGGCCAGGTCACCCCCTCCTCACCCCAGCCCCCAGCAGACCCTCGTTCACACCTCCTGTCCCTCCGTCACCAAGTTCTGCGGTCCTCCCATTCTAGAACCAACCAGGCCCTCCCATCCCCTCCCGGTGCCCTGAGGCAGGCCTGCTTCCCTCCTCCACACACAGAGTCTCCTCCAGAGATGGAGAGCGACACTGCTGGGCTGGCCCTCCCCACTGGGTCCTGTCTCAAACCCCACGGCCCAGCTCTCCCTTCACACCCGGGTATGTCAGCGGCGTGGCTGCCCTGGACAGCCGCTCTCGGTTTCCCTTCAATCATTAAAGCAGCTATTTTGGACTCTGCACCAACCTGCATGAAATACTTTCACACATACACATACACACACACACACACACACACACACACACACACTTTCTCAGATAGTCCTTGCAAAAGCCCTGTCGTGTATTATGTTCTTTATACAGATAAGAAAACCAAGGCTCAGAAAAGCTTGTTGACTTGTCCAAGGCCAAACAGCTAATGGGGATAACTAGTGTACCCTGGATACTTCCTATGGAACAAGCCACAGTACCCAGGGCTTCACCCTTCAGAGGAAGCTGCTATTTTGATTCCCGTTTTATAGAAGTGGAAACTGCAGCACAGAACAGTTAAATAACTTGTTGGAAGTCACACAGCAGCTAAGGAGCCAAGCTGGAATCTGAACCCAGAGAGTCTGACTCGGGAAGTCCATGCTCCGAACCACTGCATCTATTGCTTATTGTGTTGGATATTTACTTGCTAGGCTGACGAACTAAAAACCAGGTTTGTCACCATTTCCACTCAACTTAGATATTTCAGCATTTTTATCAGTACAGATGAGAAATGAGCTTTTGTATTTTGTTTTTAGAAGCTTATGGGATGCTTTTAGTCACATAAAACCCCCAGCTTTGTTGAATGACTAGATTTCAAACCAGAAAAACCACACACACACACACACACACACACACACACACACACACACACACAGGCTTATTCTATCACCACTATTTCAGAACGTAAACCCTCCCATGTATTGTCATCTCACCCACTGCCATTCTTGGTATAGCCTGTCAGGGATCTCTTAGCTGTTCTGACCCAACGCATTGGGTAAGCCATGCAGTTGCGTGTGAGTTGAACATTTGGTGAGAGGGCAAAATTTTTAAGAAAGGGAAGAAAAAGGGGAGGAGGAAAAGGAGGAAAGGATGGTATTCTTTTTCCAGGCATCGGGGCTCAATCCTCGGCTTTCATTCTTTCACTGAATCCTCACAACCACTTTCTAGGGTGGGTGCTGTCATCACCCTAATTTCACAAATAAAGAAAGCAGGAGGGTGGAGAGTAGGAGAAGGGAACTACCACTTAATCAACAGAAGGGGTCAGAACAAGGCACTAAACCCCTCCAGGCACTTCTGTTAAGTTCCTGCTCCCTGTCAGGCCCCGTGCTGAGCCCCGAGATCAGGAGAATGAGACCTGCCTACCCCTCGAGGGTCTCAAAGTCCTGACAGGTGGCCAGCCTGCCACCTGCCACTCTTCCAGTGCACGACCACTCAGTTCTACACCTTCTAGAAAGGACTGAGTCAGGACACCAATGTCCAGTTTGGTTACTTGATGGGGAAGATTCCTCTGAGCAAGGGGAAAAAAAAAATGTAGTAATATTAAAAATTAATGTTTCATTAAAAATTAAAATTTTCTATTTCCCAGCTGTTAATTATTAAATTCCATTGGCAATTCCCACGTGTCAGCGACCCTGACTAAGAAGCCAGATGACAGGCTGAAAAGGCAGGCCTGAGGGGAGGACGAGGGGGTGGGAGGATGGTTGAGATCAGCTTGCTGGATGAACCTCTCCCACCCCAACCTGGAAAAAAAAAAACATAAAGAAGTGACAGCAGGCAAGCTACACATGTGTAAGACCAAAAGATGTCCAAGGTCACCAAGATGGGACTCTAAAAGGAGGAAAAAGTGCCAGGAAAGATGGAAAACTGCCCAAATGCCTTCTTTCCAAGCAGCACACCTGCTGTGTTACCTCCGCTTGTCGGGTTCCCCAAGTACAGGCCAAAGGTTTCCCACAACATAGAAGGGCCTCCATGACCCAAACATACACCTACCTAGGCATTTGGTAGCATCTACACCTTACGTACTTATTTATGGGCTTACCAGGTGGCATAGTTGGTAAAGAATCTGCCTGCAATGCAGGAAATGCAGATTAGATCCCTGGGATGGGAAGATCCCCTGGAGTAGAAAATGGCAACCCATTCCAGTATTGTTGCCTGGAAAATTCCAGGGACAGAGGAGCCTGGCAGGCTATAGTCCATGGGGTCACAAAGAGTCAGACTTGACTGATCATGTGCATATGCTTATTAATGGGAACACTGTGGTCCCCAGGGGCTGGGCAGAGGAAGGATTAAAATTCTATGAATCAGGCAGCAGTTCACGAAAGATGTAGCATGCATACAGCATGTTCTTTACTGGACTCCTTCCAGGCAGCAGGACAAAGACAAGAGCTGTGGGGTGGCAAGAAGGAGATGATGTGGGAAGAATTTTGGAGGAAGAATTAACAGAACATGCTAATGGATTAGACTGTGGGATGGATGAAGGAAAGAGTGAAGGATAAATTGGAGAGGTCTCCTGGACTCTGACTTAAATAGGAATGAGAAGAACGGGGGTGGGGTGAATCAAGAACTCTGTGAGACACACAGACAGTTAGACATAAGCGGGGGCTCAGAGACAGCCTTTGGACTTAAGATGTAAATGTGGGAGTCATTCTCCCATGGATGGTATCTAATGCCATGGAAATGGATGAGAGCACATTGGAAGATGGAATAAAGAAAAGAGATGAGGATACTGGACTCAACCTCCAGAAGCTAATATTTGAGGCCTGGGAAGAGGGAAGGGCCCCATTAAGGAGACTGAGAAAGTAGGAGGAAAATTAAGAGAATGTGATGATATGAGGCTAAGAGATATTAATATAAATATGTATCTACAATATATTTAACATGCTTCTGGTAGTTTACAGAAAAGGATACATTTCTATAAATATGTCATCTGTGAATTCAGTTGTTCATCTTTCATTCATTTATGCAAGAAATATACTTTAGTGCCCTGAGAAGGCTTAGATTTGGTGTCACTACAAATCAATATTCTTTAACTATCTGCTCATCGTTCATTTGGAGGACAATGGAGAGAGTGACAGCTGCTGGTTGTGATCTGTTTCTCTTCTCCGACCAGAGTAACGCAGCCCTGGCCCCCGCCTCCAGGTCCCACTCGGCAAAGCAGAAGTACCACAGTGAAAGTGTGCTACCCTCCTTTGAAGTAAGCTTGGCAACTAATCGCTAGCTCATCTAGCTGGCCATTGGGTGGGGGGGGCTCTCACCCCCGTCACACACACACACATATACCTAAGGGGCTTATCAAACCACAGTGCTTCCATATTCTTACATTTCCAGGAATGGTTTAGCATCCCATAGATGGCTACCCTGTTGTCCAGCTCCTTAAATGATACCTTGGGGGGAGGAGGGTGGGGGTGGGGGAAGAAAAATTCCCATCCTTTCACACTGGCATGGATCCTTTGTCCCAAAACAAGAGAGCTTGCCAGAACACATTCAGTCTTTGCAGAGCCAAGATCCCTCATGCTCTAACAGCTGCTGTTCGCTCCGATCCTCCTCCTACCTCTACGGCCGCTCCTGCTCCTTTTCAGACGTCTCTTCCTCCACTGGCCCTTTCAACGCTGATGTCAGACATCAGCCTGGTGCTCATCCAGGCCTGCAGATCCCATTGCCACCTGTGCGCTGAAGGCTCCTCTTCCTGCATACCCACCACCTACCTTCTGCCACACTTAGGGGCACTGGGACTATTATGTCCCCCCAAAATTCATGTGTTGAAACCTAAGGGGTGGAGCCTTAGGGAGAGGATCAGGTCATGAGGGTAGAGCCGTCATGAATGGGATTAGTGCCCTTAGAAAAGAGGCCCCTGAGAGCTCCCTCTCCCCTTCTACCGCATGAGAACATGGTGAGAACACCGTCATGAATACACTAGGAAGTGGGTCCTCATCAGACACCACCCTGTCTGAGGCCTTGATCTTGGACTCCCCAGCCTCCAGAACTGTAGGAAACACATATGTGTTGTTTATAAGCCATCCAGTCTATGGTATTTTGTTATAGCAGCCTGAACGACTAAGATAGGCACCCTGTGAATCTCTGCCCAGTGGCCCCACAAGTTCCTGACTCCATACACATCCCTAGTTGAGCTCATCTTCACCACTTCTAGACCCTTTTCTGGTCAATGGCACCACCACCCACTGGTCTCTCAGGACTCATGGTCATCCTGGACAGCTCCCGCCTCCCTACTCCCCAAACCACACCCTTCTAAGTCAGGCTGCTCACAGCTCCTTAATCAACCTTGGCAAACACTAGTTACACGTCTAGAGCCCCTACAGGACCGTGCACTTCTTGAGTATAACCATGCTGATTGATTTTTCCTGTCTCCTATACCTAACACAATGTCTAGTAAAGAATTTTTGACCATGATTCACAGTAAGAAATACATCTCATGTCAAAAACACATGCACATACACATATATATAGAGGCAAAAATCCACTTAACAATACCTATCTTTCCTCAGGTGATGCCCTCTGGTTTTCTGTTGATTTCAATTTTTAAAAGGTTGTTTTTAACCCATTCGTTTCTGAACACATTAATGGATAGTGACCAGTAGTTTGTAAAAACACCAGCTGTCATATCATGGGATAAACATTTGTTGTATGCTTGCTTAAAGAATGTACACATGGCCCTATAAGCTTCTGTAACATCACTGCCATTTTACAAACGAGTTAACTGAATCTCAGAATTTTCTTGCTCTGACTCCAGGTTTGTAGCTTTCCGTAGTACTCTGTGGCCTATGAGACCCCCTTCAAGCCCCAGTGTTTTGTGATTCTTCTGCTGCCATTGGCCGACTGCTGTCAGAATCACTGTAGTTATTGCTCAAACAAATAAGTCAAGATAACCAGACTCTCAAGTTTCTCATCTAACCTGGTGTAAAGGTCTAATAGATGCTAAGTCTCTGTCCCCCTAGTCAGGGCTGTTCTCCATGGCACTGCTGCCTCCATAGCTCCTGCCCCTTTATGCTGAGCTATGGATTTACTGGAAATGGGGCGACGCTTCTTTTCTTACAATGGGTTGAACCAGTCCGATAGCTTAAGCTTGCTTTTGTCTTCCTTTCTTTGTTCCTTTTCTTCGTCTATGTCTTCATCTTCTTCGTGGTAACTGTGGGTCATACATACAAATGGAAAAATAAGCTGAGGAAGGCAAGGAGGATGACCTATGGTATCAGGATGGTGGCTGAGGACCTTACAAAAATGGGTTCCAAGGCAGAAAGCACCAAGTGAATGTCTGGAGAAAGGTTCATGATACTAAACGTTTATTCATAAAGACGTACTTTTGTTGAAATGGTGCAACAATCAGTGTGCTTATTATCCTTCCAGGTCAGCACAGTTAGCAATTTAATGACCCAACAACCATCAGGTTATTTCAAGAGGAGGGAAAACTAATAAAACAGTCCTCATAAAAACATTTTAGTTTATGATAGGCTTCCCTGCAATCCCAACTTTAGCCTGAACTTCACTCACCCTCAAGTTAAATGGGGCAAAAATAAAAACATGACCACCAAACTTAATGCCCCAGTCCCAACCATGAAATAGAGGCCTTGTGTGTTTCCAATAAGCCAGAAATACAAATGACTGAGGTCATGGCTGTGAAACCATTCTATCTGGACTCTATAGCATTGGGTGGATAAACAAATCACTATGCAACCGCCTTACCCATTGTTAAACCATCTCGGAAACCACCAGCCCTTCTGAATGCTGTTGCCACCAACTTCTGGGTTTCTAAGAAATGAGAAAAAATGACAAACATTTTTAGAAAATGAGGCAGTCCCAAACGGCGGGGCGGGGCGGGGGTGGGGGTGGTGGTTTCCAAACTCTTTTTATGGCAGGTCATTTAAAATTTTGCTAAAAAGTCGCTCATTTGTAAAATGAACACAAGTGACACTGCTGTAGCTGAACGGGAGAGGATGAACCTGACACAACCTAGATCTCCCCTCCTGTGGGCAGCCCCTGGCACTCAGCTCATCCAGGGACCCCCACAGAGAGAGAAGGAGAAAAACGGAATGACGGGGGGTGGGTGGGTGGGGGGAATACTAATCCATAAATCTGAATCCTGGGTCTGCTGCTTACTAGCTGGGTGACTATGAGAGGACATTTTCCCTCTCTGAATCTTGAATTTTCTCCTCTGAAAAGTCAGAGATAATAATAACAAGAAGAAACCTACCATAAGGGTGGCTTTGAAGCCTAAATATAAGTAGCATACACAAAAGAACTTTCTAAGATGAAAATTACTGTAGCAAGTTGGAGTCTTTAAACAAAACGGTTCACATTTCCAAGAATGATCTCTTTGGCTAAATGAGGAGAATCTGAGTTGCTACAAAGGTCAGCAGTGACAGACGCAGGAAATCCGAGGGTCTGTGAACCAGAAAGAAGCTCAACCAACTGTAATTAGAAGCCACTTTCACCAGCACATACTGACGTGTCTACACGCCCTGTGACGGCCTCTCCAGGGTGGGGACCTTCTAGAAGAGGGAAAAGAAACGGAAACCAGGAAACAATACCCTTCAGTTGGACAAATAAGGTGGTGAGGTATGAACAGCATAATGAAAAAGAAACATGTTTTAAAGCCCATCCCATCACTCAAGAAGGGCTTGAAGTGGTTTATGATTAAGAAAGCATGCTGCTGTTGCTGCTAAGACACTTCAGTCATGTCTGACTCTGAGCGACCCCATAGACGGCAGCCCACCAGGCTCCCCCGTCCCTGGGATTCTCCAGGCAAGAACACTGGAGTGGGTTGCCATTGCCTTCCCCAATGCATGAAAGTGAAAAGTGAAAGTGACGTCACTCAGTCGTGTCCGACTCCTCGTGACCCCATGGACTGCAGCCCATCAGGCTCCTCCATCCATGGGATTTTCCAGGCAAGAGTACTGGAGTGGGGAGCCATTGCCTTCTCCGTAAGAAGGTATGGTTATAATAAATAGGGAAAAACTACAAGAATAAAAATGAAGCAATAGGAAACAAACATGTTAGTCACTCAGTAGGTATGTTCACATGACCTTGATCATCTGAGCCACTCTGGGAAAATAAGTTTTACCTTTATTCTTGTGACTAAGATACTAGTTGAGTGGGTTTGAGCAAATTGCCAAGGTCATATGACATGTAACCATAAAAGCCAAGATTTAATATCAGGGGAGAAATTATATCAAAAATGAAGGTCAAGGAAAGTACAAGCAGTTGAACATAATACTTTGCTCTGAGCTTCCTGGCAACCAAGCCAAAGATTGAAAAATCAAGGCTTGTAGAATCCTCGAGGACAATAATAACAATACTACTACACCACACACTAGTTCATCAGGAGACCCAAACTTTTTTCCTGATCCTTTATCACAATGGAATTTCTTGCAAGTGTCTTTATACAGCATGTGGTGGGTAGCCTAATGGACAATATCTACTCTGATTTTTTTATAAGCAAGGCAGGAATGTTCTCCAAATAAGACTACTTGAAGAGATAAGATACTTGATGAAAAGCAAGGACAAAACATGAGTCATGGCTCTAGAGAGAAAAGACTAAGGGGCTGGAGGAATACAGTCCAGACTCCTGAGACCCTTCCCCTCCATCTGTGACCAGAGCAGTGTCACCACCTGCCACGTTAAGAATGGACTGTAGGGGAGCCAGAGCGGGCAGGGGGAGAATCCCATAGATACCTAGAATTAAAAGCACTTACCTTGATGGGTTTATCCAGAACAAAGAGCCTTCTGGGCTAAAAGCAAATGAGAAATAAAAATGTACCATATTACTTTTAATTCAGAAAAGCTATTTTGCAGCCATTATCACTGAAGCCCCGGGCCAAATTGAGAGCTTGGGTTTTGGCTAAGCCCAGGTTTCCATTCATCTCACGTGCTAGCAAAGTAATGCTGAAAAGTCTCCAAGCTAGGCTTCAACAGTGCATGAACTGAGAACTTCCAGATGTTCAAGCTGGATTTGGAAAAGGCAGAGGAATCAGAAGACCAAATTGCCAACATCTGTTGGGTCATAGAGAAAGTAAGAGAATTCCAGAAAGACAGCTACTTCTGCTTCACTGACTATGCTAAAGCCTTTGACTGTGTGGATCACAACAAACTGTGGAAAATTCTGTAAGAGATACAAATATCAGACCACCCGACCTGTCTCCTGAGAAATCTGTATGTAGGTCAAGAAGCAACAGTTGGAACCAGACATGGGACAATGGACTGGCTCAAAATTGGTAAAGGAGTATGGCAAGACTGTATATTGTCACCCTGCTTATTTAACTTAAATGCAGAGCATATCATGAGAAATGCTGGGCTGGATGAAGCACAAGCTGGAATCAAGATTGCCAGGAGAAATATCAATAACCTCAGATATGCAGATGACACCACTTTTATGGCAGAAAACAAAGAGGAACTAAAGAACCTCTTGATGAAGGTGAAGGAGGAGAGTGAAAAAGCTGGCTTAAAACTCAACATTCAAAAAACTAAGGTCATGGCATCCAATCCCATCACTTCATGGCAAATAGATGGGGAAACAATGGAAACAGTGACAGATTTTATTTTCTTGGACTACAAAATCACTGCAGATGGTGACCACAGCTTACTCCTTATAAGAAAAGGTATGACAAACCTAGACAGCATATTAAAAAGCAGAGACATTACTTTGCCAACAAAGGTCCATCTAGTCAAAGCCATGGTTTTTCCAGTAGTCATGTATGGATGTGAGATTTGGACCACAAAGAATGCTGAGTGCCAAAGAATTGATGCTTTTGAACTGTGTTGGAGAAGACTCTTGAGAGTCCCTTGGACTGCAAGGAAACCCAACCAGTCCATCCTAAAGGAAATCAATCCTGAATATTCATTGGAAGGACTGATGCTGAAACTGAAGCTCCAATACTTTGGCCACCTGATGCAAAGAACTGACTCATTGGAAAAGACCCTGATGCTGGGAAAGATTGAAGGCAGGGGGAGAAGGGGATGACAGAGGATGAGATGGTTGAATGGCATCACCGACTCAATGGACATGAGTTTGAGCAAACTCTGGGAGATAGTGATAGGGAAGCCTGGCGTGCTGCAGTCCATGGAATTAAAGAGTCAGACACGACTGAGAGACTGAACAAGAATGAGGTTTCTATCTTCCTTTGAGATAAAATCAATGACACCAAGGGACTTTGATCACTTCTAGATTACTCAGAACAAGGAGTGGTCAGAAGATCTTGGGAGAATCTCAAATCCTAGTTTAAAAAAAATAAACAAATAAAAGATGGCAGCTCTCCATTGTCCACGGTGGCTTCGCTGAGGGAGAGGGCTCCCCAGATGACTCCCCTCTTGCTTCCTGGTGGGGAACACCATGGCCCAACCATCCCTTGCCCAGGATTTATCTTCCCCCCAGAAGACCAATGACTGCAGAGCCGGCACCCCACCATCTCAGAGCCTCCTCAAAGCAGGAGCAGACTCAAAGGGCACTTCTGAGGCTAACGAAGGCAGTGAAACCATCTGAAGGCATCTACAAGACTGGACCAGTGACTGACTCCTCAAGCAGACCACCTCCCTCCATTCCACTGCCACATGCCTAGCGCTGGGGATACACTGCTGGCTGAGACAGACAGAGTCCCTTTGTATCCTTGTGGTACAGACAAGCTAGTGGGGAGGGCAGACCCTGTATCACACAGCTACAGAACTTCAAACTCCAAGAAGGGCTGTTTAAAAAAAAAAAAAACAAAGCATAAGTGACTAGGAGCACTTAACAGGAAGACCTGGAAGGCTTCCCAGAGGAGGGAACAATGTTTTAGCTGAGTTCTGAAGGATGAATAGAAATCCAGGGGAAGGGAAATTAGAAAGTGTGTCTCTTGGAGACCAAAAATATATACGCAAAGGCCCTGAAAAAGGAAGGAGGCATTTAAATGTGCAAGGAAATAAATGGAGAAGTAACCAGAGGTCCCCTTGCTGTAGCCTGCTATGGATTTTGCCCTTGAAGAGTTTTAGGCAGGAGAGGGACGGGGTCGTCTCTGCAGGCAGTATGAGAGTAAATGGGGTGACTAGTCAGGAGGTGTTGGCAGCAGTCCAGGCTCAGGTCACGGCAGCCAAAGAGATGGAGAGCGCAGAGTGCACTGACTTGAGAGATACTCTGGGGGAAAAGGGATAGGACTTGTCGCACTGGATTCTTCCACTGTTCTGCCCACGGAAGCTGTGCCCAATGGTTAAATCTTTCTTGCTTCCTTCTCCCTGTGAATATAAGGGATAGAGCCTGGATAGAGTTCTGGACCTGGGCTCAGGCACCTGCCCTGGCTCTGCACCTGTCTGGCCCTAGCTGCCCTCATCACTGAAAAAAAAAAATAAATGACTAATACTTGTTTCAGACTCTGCCTTCTGCCCCTGCTGGGAGTCCATATCTCTTGGCCAGTGTGAAATGCATGCCCTCTTTCCACCTACAGTTACACCTCTGAGTTCAACACTTGTGGACCAAGTTCTAATGTCTCGTTTCTAAATATGTTTATTGATCTGACAATATTCATAACAGCTAATACTTGGCAGGGGACTGTTCTAAGCAATTGACATGTATTAACTCATTAAATCCTCACAACAATCAGCCAAGGAGGTTCTATGCTTCCTCAGAGGCACCTAGGCATTAAGTGGTTTTGTCTAAGATTGGATTGCTAGAAGAAACAGTACTTGAACCTGGGGAATCTGACTCTAGACCTGACAAGAGGGGGTTAGGAAGAAGGGAAAGAGGAGGGAGAAGCCCCTCTGCAACCTAGCACTCAGACCCCCACCAAGTGCTTAGGATATCAATTTGTAGAGTCAGTCTTGCCATCTTGTTCCATCTTTTAAATTTGCCATCTTGCCCTTTTCACCCTTCCCTCCCAGAGGCCTGCGACATTTCAGGTCCCAGCAACATATTCATATTCATCCTTTAAGGCACAATTCAAATGCCCCCTTTCCTGTGGCTCCCCTGGTACAATCTGAGTATAGCGACTGGCACATAGTAGCTGCTCAATAAATATTTGTAAATGAATGCCTCTCCCCCCCAAAGAAACATATTGCTCTCTAAGTCAAACATAATCTTTGCCTCCTTGAACTCTCACAGTTCCTTTTCTCCCCCTCTGATATCCTTCCTTCGCTTTGCATTGTTGATATTGATGTACACATCTGCTTGCTCCATCTAGAGTTTAGCCTCCTGAGGGTAGGAATTCCCTGCGCCTCACACTGTATCCCTCACAGCACTTACCATGAACAGCCAGCTCAAGAAGGAGCCCTGGACAATAAATCAGATCTGAGTTCCAATTAGAACTTGAACATAAATTCACTGCTAAGTTGTTTCAGCTATTCGGTCTCCATTTTGTCTCTTAACAAATAGGAACCCTCAGAATAAGCTATATTCAGACAGGCTCAGATCTAAATCTTCCAGAAAATGTGACCTTGCACATTCACGTTTAACACTGTGGAGACTCAGTGTTCCTCATCTAGATACACAGATTATGTGGACTAACACTTAGCTTGCAGGGAAGGGAATGACTAGTACAGTTCCTGGCACATGCGAACGCTCAAAAACTAGTAGGTACCATCATAAAAATCACCTTCACCATCATTACTTTATCATAAACATTTAAAGTTTCTTCCATCTCTAAAATTCTAAGATTTTTTTTTTCATCCAACCTCAAATCAAACCCTGTCCTTGATGACATTCTTTCAGGATGCTCTATCGGTAATAGTCTCTACTAATCAGTTGATGTGTTTGATTGCATTACTTTAAAATCCTTTTTAGCTAAAGTGCTGCCTACCTGTCTAAGGTGAGTGCCCTCAGCTCACCTCACACCATCACAAGACCAATTCTCAGGATGGCAAAGAATCTGCTGCCTTTAAACCTCTTGCAGACATTCAAATAGATTCCCCACATTGAAGAATGATGTGGCTGCCACCTGGGTGCCAGACTATGGCCCTGAAGAGCAGCCAGAAGCTGCTCTAGTTACTGTGTAGAGAGTGTACCCAGCACGGCAAAATAACCCTCTTTATGGGAGGCCAGTGCCAATATGCACATTTGGGCCTTTGGCTCCCATATTTTAATTTTGTGAAGTACCCAAAATTTGGAAATATGACTCTGGCTGCAATTCAAAACGCCAAGGTTATCCAATCAAGCATTCAGAGCTCGAATGCTCTCAAGGCCACCTACACAAGCATCTCAGCTCAGGGCAGGACCCCAAAGGACGCGCGCTCTTCTGTTGGATTCTTCCAACTGCTGGAGCTCTTCCTTCTATTTGCTAAAATCCCCTGTCTTACCTCTGAGCAGATGAAGAGAACGGTGGTGATGATGGTGATGGCAGCAAACATTTACTGAGTGCACTGCCCTAAGTGCTTTATACACAATAACTTATTTAATCCAACAGCCCTATGAAGCAGGTACTACTATTATACCCATTTTAAACAACAGGGAAACTTATTGGAAACCAAGGAACAGAGTGGCGAAGTAGCATGCCCAAAGTCACAGAGGAGGTAAGTCATGGCGCAGCACCAGCCCCGGGCAGCCTAGTTCCAGACTCCAGCCAGGATACTTCCTCAGCCCTCAAGTAACGGGAGCCCCAGGGTCCCTGCATCCAACACTGAGTCATCTTTTCTTCGGACTAAGTACCCACAGTTTCCTTTAATTCGAAAGACCTGGTTTGTAGGCCCCTTTAACATGGTCACACTCTAGCTTGTCCTGTTTCTTTTAAAATGAGTTGTTCAGAATGAAACAATAATACTCTAGAAATGGTTAGGTCACCCTGGGGAAAAACAGCTCCAGAGTCTAGAGATTCCTCCTTCCACTGATGTACCTGAAGGTGCAGTCCCTTTATAAGTAGCCAGGACAGTCCTGCCAGCTCATCAAATCTTAGAATTTAAGAATTGAAAGCAACATTCTAATGTTTAACAGAGCCATCATCTTGAACTTGGGAAGCTACTAAGACACTCCACCATGAAGATATCAATGGTGACAAGACAGTGCTCCTGGCCCAGAGTTGTACAGTGGCCTTATTTATTTATTTGTATTTATTTATTTTTAATTGGAGGATAATTACAATGTTGTGTTGGTTTCTGCCATACACAAACATGAATCAGTCATAGGTATACATATGTCCCCTCCCTCTTGAACTTCCCTCCCACCGCCCACCCCATCACACCCCTCTAAATTGTCACAGAGCATTAGATTTGATCTCCCCAAGGCATCCAGCAAATACACACTGGCTACCTATTTTACACATGGTAATATATATGTTTCAATGCTGTTCTCTCCATTCATCCCACCCTCTCCTCCCCTCACTGTGTCCACAAGTCTGTTCTTCATGCCTGCAGCTCTTTTGCCGCTCTGCAAATAGTTTCATCTGCACCATCTTTCTAGATTCCATATGAATGCATTAATATATAATACTTGTTTATCTCTTTCTAACTTATTTCACAATGTATAATAGGCTCTAGGTTCATCTACCTCTAGGTGTAAAGTGGCCTTTTTGAAAGAAAGGCTGAACTGTACTGATGCCTCTTAAAGTCAAAACCATCGTGCATTTTTGTAGCTGCCTGGGGAGACTTCTTTCTGTCAGAAGCCTCTCCAGCTGGAACCTCCGAGGCATTATAGTTTCTCAAAACACAGAAGCAGCTCAAATATTTGAGGTGAATCCACTGATGAATTTGAAAACTCAGAAATATTCCATTCATTTTGTTTTCCAGAGTCAAAAAAAAAAAAAAGACAAAACACTCAAAAGTTTAGCCAGGCACAAATGAATCACCAGCGACTCAAAGTGTATTTTACAACAAAAGTCAACAACTTTGAGTAGTTCCTTTGAACTTTGCAAATATTTTAGGACTGCAAAACTCAGGGTGAACTTCTCGTGGAATTCCTGTCTGAAATTTCTTAATGTAATTTCCATATCTGGTCATATAAATAATTTAATATGACATTTTGATCTTAATAGGACCTTACTGTTTCTGGCTCTAGCCTGCCCAGAACTGCAAAGTTATATAAAAATTGAGGTATTAGGAACATGGCAGGAAGAAAGATAATTAATTACTTAGAAAGTGCTTGAAGATCTAATGATTTTAAAGACAGTCTTTAAAGTCTAGCGCTCAGGGAAACAGGAAGGAAGGAATCCTAATTTTAATTCAACCTGGTGACTTGGCTGATGGAGATGTTCATTAACATCACTTTATCATGTTCCATAATTACCTGTGGATATATTCCCAAAACACAACAATGACAGTTGAGACAACCAGCATTGACAGAATCACTTTTCCTTTGACATTCATTATCTTCTCCTGGGAAAAGAAAAGAAGGGGGGGGGGAAAGAGATTAAATATATCAAGAGTGGGATATGATTTTTTTTTAAGAAATGTTTCTACCCATATCCTTTCTAAAAGGAAAAGGTGATGAATATTTAACAAGCACTAAGTGAGCATGTCCTGGGCTTCCCCAGTGGCTCCGCAGTGAAGAATCCACCTGCAATGCAGGAGATGCAAGTTCAATCCCTGGATGGGGAAGATCCCCTAAAGGAGGGCATGGCGACCCACTCCAGTACTCTTGCCTGGAGAATGCCATGGACAGAGGTGTCTGGTGGGCTACAGTCCATAGGGTCATGAAGAGTTGGACATGATTAAAGGAAGTGAGCACACACGCATGCAAGGAGCAGGTTCTATCTTAAACTGCATGGGTCTGCAACGGCAAATGAGCCAGTTCAGCAAACTGATGTGGCTGCCTGGGTTGCAAAAGATGCTAAGGCCACTTTGAGGCTTAGGCCTCTGATGCTAAGGCCACTCAGAGGGAAAGTTTTCTGAGTGATCACAAGGTCCACCATGGACGTGGGAGAGGGCTTATTTATTTTTATTGGAGTACAGTTACTCTAAAAGGTTGTATTCATTTTCACTGTACAGTAAAGTTAATCAGCTACACATATACACATTCCCCCTCATTTTTAGATTTCCTCCCCATTTAGGCCACTGCAGAGTACTGAGTACAGCTCCTTGTGCCATTCAGGAGGTTCTCATTAGTTACCAGGTTCTCATTAGTTACCAGGCTCTCATTAGTTACCAGGTTCTCATTAGTTACCTATTGAATACACAGGAGGATCTGTATGTGAATCCCAATCTCAATTCATCCCCTCCCGCCCCTCCCCCACTTGATAACCTTAAATTTGTTCTCTACATCTGTGACTATATTCTGCTTTGCAAACAAGTTCACCTGCACCATTTTTCTAGAGTGAGGGTTGAGCTAATGGTTCCCGCGGATGCTGGCCTCCTCTGACTTGATAGCCCTGCCTCTCGGCACGTGACTTTGGGGAATCATCAATTCCACGGCTCTGCTGCCTCTGATATCCTAACTATGCGCTCCCTCATTCAGAGGGGAAAACAATCTGGTCTCTTACAGTTGAGACTCAACCATTTCCCAGGTGGCCTTTCCCTACCATACCCACATAGCTGGTGCACAGTGGGTACATAAATATTTCTTAATTGCTGCATGAAATTGTGATCAAAGGGCGAAGGGGTGCAGGGAGAGAATTACAGCTTGGGAAGTACTTTGATTTGGGTGGTTGGGGAAGGGTTCACTGGGAAGATGACTTTAAAGCCTCCCATGGGGTGAAGATAGGATGGAAAAGAAAGTACCATGAGAAGGGATGAGAATATTTCAGAAATAGCATCTATACCAGGCTGACTAGAGAAAAACCTTCCTGTGTGTGGGAAAAACAAAAGCAAAAAACCTGGACAAGAAAAAAAATAGTGCAGTTGTCCCACTTGAGTGAAAGGAGGGGGTGGTGGTGGTGATGGCCAGTAGTCAGAGGGTGGGCAGGGGCAGTCAGAGGCTGGAAGGGCATGGAAAGAGGACGGGGACCCACAAAAGCATCTGAAGCTGAAGAGTCACCTGACCCATCTTCATTCAGAGAGACACATCTGGACACTGGGTGTGGGGAACGAATAAAATGACAAGCTAGACCATTCTAATTGCAACAGAGGAGAGGGGCTGGAGACTTCCCTGGTGGTCCAGTGGTTAAGAATCTGCCTGCCGATGCAGGGGACAAGGGTTTGATCCCTAGTCTGGGAAGATCCCACATACCGCAGCACCTGCACTCTAAAGCCATCAAGCCACAACTACTGAGCCTATATGCTACAACTACTGAAGCCCAACACGCTCAGAGCCTGTGATTCGCAAGAAAATAAGCCATCGCAATGAGAAGTCTGTGCACCACAACTAAAGCGTAGTCCCTGCTCACCACAACTAGAGGAAGCCCTTGCAAAGTTAAAAGACCTAGGGCAACCAAAATTAAATAAATAAATTTTTTTAAAAAGAGGAGATGGGCTGGCTCAATGGTTGGTTTCATTCAAAACATACGTTAGAGAGAGAATTGATAGGATTTGGCTGGTAATTTAGTCATTAGGGATGAAGGAAGAAATAAGGTTTCTGCTTAAGCAGGTAGGTTGTAGCATTTAGTCAGATTGGTTGGAGGAGGAATAGGCTTGGAGGAAAGTAATCATGAGTTCCCTCTTGGATGTGTGAATTTCAAGGAGCGTGTGAACACCTGAATGGAAACTCACAGGCAAGCGGAACTCAAGTCTGAAGCTCATCAGAGAGGTGTGGGCAGGCCGTGCAATTGGGGGAGTACCCATAGACCAAGGATGATACTTAACATGAAGGGAATAAATTCAATTACCAAGGAGATAATGGAGAGAGACAAAAGGGAAGGAGGAGAGCCCTGGGCTGAAGCTTAAAGATGACGATTCTCAAAGGTAGGTTAGAGAAAGGGGCGGAAAGGAGAAGACCAGCAGGTGGAGAAAACGTGAGAGCAGACGTCTGGGAGCCAACGTCATCGCCTTGGTGAAACCACTGGTGGAGAAATGGACAACGTGGAGTCAGTCAGGCTCTCCTGTCCCACCGTCTCACAGCCTCACACCTTGTGTTCGGTAAACAACAATACTGCTGACCTTGGTAGCACTGGGCCTGTGTGCCTACTTGGCCATGGGCCACTTTTGTCTGTCTGAGTATATCAGTAGTTTTTGAAGACTTGCTGCTAGGAGAGAATAAACACATCTGCAGTCCCTCCGGCTCCTTGAGTCTCCTTCCAGCTTCCCTGGCTGTGCCTTATCTACCCTGGGTCCAGTGAACCGTGTGAGTGGCAAGACACCACTCCCTACCCCCGACCACCAGCGTAGCCCCCTTTCTCTCCTCCAGCTCCCCCATCACCCTGTTTACGTTGCTGCACGTATCACCTTGGGAGGCACCTCACGTGCAACATCATTTGGCTCCATCTCCTCTGATCATTCCTATGAGCTTCCTGAGGGCGGGAGGGGTGTCTTCTTATTCAATCCTGAATCCCCAGTGCCCTCAAAGAGCAGAGGGGGCCGTCACCTAGTGAGTGTGTGAAATAAAGTGAGGAGGTACCAAGACAGTCCTTCATGGGACGGGTTATTCTCTAACTCTTCAAAGAGGGTTCTGAAATGATTCCTGGCTTGGATCTCCTGTGCTCCATCACCTTTATTATTCTTTTTTCCTCCCTACTTTTTAAACAACTTTTTGGCCTCGCCGAGTGGTATGTGGGATCTTCGTTCCCTGACCGGTGATAGACCCTGCACCCACCCCCTGCATTGGAAAAGCGGAGTCTTAATCATTGGACCACCAGAGATAGTCCCTTCATCACTTTTATTATTAAATCCAGTTAAAGAAGAGGAAGTGTGGGATTACCAGCCATGACATTTCTTGCTTAGAAAGTGAGCTCTGTTTGGAAATGGAAAAGCCGGGGCTGAACTCAAGGTCATAACACACCCTCCGGCTTTCAGATACAACCGTGACCGGTGGTGGTAGAGAGACCGTGAGAAGACAGACCTGCTGGGCCACAGGGACACCTCAGTTTGAGCTTCTTCCCTGTGAATACCTCGTGAGCTGGCACACACAGCCCAGGACCCAAGGCAAAGTTACAAAATGCAGAGGAATGCTTGCAACTCATCCTGGTTGCTCGGAAAAGCCACTTGCTTTCTACGTCAATACCACGAGCATTGCATGCGAGGAAAGGCCAGGGTTTGGAAACAAACAGGTCTGGACTGAGACTCTGGGCACCCCGCTATGCTGCTATGGTCCCTCCCAGAGAAGTGTGGATGGCGATTAGAACACAGGAGCCTGGGAGTGAAGTAGGGATTTGTGACATACAAAACCGGCTAACCCCAAACATGATGCAGCTTCTCAGACCCTCATCCGACCCCAGCAAGCTCTGAAAACTGAAAGCCTGTTTATAATTCAATTGACATCCAGGCCCTACTGATGTGAGGCTATTTATAATCTTTATTCCTCTCAGTGAGGCTGTTTAAATGTTTCTTTGCATAAATATTGATGTATTTTGTTATGTGCTGCTGCTGCTGCATTGGGACATTACAAAATATATGATAAATACTCTGCATACAAAAAAAAATTCTGAATTCCAACACATTTGGCCCTAGGGATTCAGAAAAGGGACGCTGGACTTGCAATGGCTCATATTAGATGGGTTTCCTCGTCTTTAAAAGGGGGATAAAAATGGTGATGGTTGCAAGAGATGGCATCTGTAAAATGTTTAGCATTGTGCCTGGCACCCTGTAAATGCTTAAAAATTGCCAGTTCTTCTTACTGGTGTCCATAAAATGGGCTGCTGGGAGAATCCAAGGAAGAGAGCAAAGTGCCTGGTACTCAGCAAAAGCTCAAAACATATTTGAGAGAAAAGAATAAGGGTTTTGGGATAAGAACATGCTAAACAATAAAGTGCAAATTGATGCAAATTAGGGACTCTGAAGGTCTATCCATCTGTTCCGTGCTGCAGCCTGATTAAGAGCTCTTTGGAAAGGCCAGACAACTTTGATTTTCTTTGATCAAGCCCCAGCCATCTGAAGCTTTATCAACCCCACCTGCTGAGGATCAAACACAAATTTTCTCCCAGTGTAAGAAATGTTAAACATACAACTCTCATGGTTAGAGACACTCATACCTATATCAGGGACACCCCCTCATCCCCTCTCCATATGTAGGTGTTTGATTTTTTTTTTAATCTCAGAAATTAGCCCCAGAGACAACTCTAGAAGCCCATTTTTAATATTCTTCTTCTTTTTTAAATTTTGGCTGCTCTGGGTCTTCCTTGTGGAGCACAGTCTTATTTGTCCAGCAGCTTGTGGGGCCTTAGGTCCTTGACCAGGGATCAACCATCATTCCCTGCATTGGAAGGGATTCTTAACCACTGGACCACCAGGGAAGTCCCTTGGAGCCCATTTCTTTCTGGATCCTATCAATGACTTGAACCTGCTGACTT